AATGCGCTTGTTAATTGATGTAGGTAGCTGCCTTATAATGCTGGGTGGATGGTTAGAGTACCTATTTATGTACAGCGGATCGTCATTGGGCTTCCTATAGGGCCTATATTTTCCGTTGTTAAGATCGAAAGTTACATCTAAAAAGTTTACTATGCGTAAATTTGATTCGGCGATGATTTTTAGGTCAAACAGCTCGAAAATTTTGTGAAGTTCTTTTCTCGTTTTGTCTGCTAAACGTGCCGATTTACTTTTCATAAGGGCCAAACCGTCGTCTCTATATAAGCCGATGCTTTCTTTGCCAAATTTCTTACTTAGGTGATTTAGGATGAAAAGGCCAACTAATTCACATATTTCGGCGCCATCATGGCTGCCCATGGTACCGTCAAACAAACCTTCACTATCTTTTTTTGTCCATGGTTTTCCGGTGTTGAAAAGCAAAGATTTTCTGGCGTGTTTTATGATCAAAATATCATTATCCGAAATGGTAGTTAAATTAGAAGCCCAAGATAATGCTTGGTCCAAAAGTTTTACCGAAATGGATGGGTAAAAATCTACAATGTCAAACGAAATAAAACTATATGTCTTTCTTTGTCCTTTATATTTCCAAACCATTCAATTACTTAATTGAAACATAGTTTTATTTCGTTTGACATCGTCGATTTTTACTCATCCATTTCGGAAAAACTTTTGGACCAAGCATTATCTTGGGCTTCTAATTTAACTACCATTTCGGATAATGATATTTTGATCATAAAACACGCCAGAAAATCTTTGCTCTTCAACACCGGAAAACCATGGACAAAAAAAGATAGTGAAGGTTTGTTTGACGTTACCATGGGCAGCCATGATGGCGCCGAAATATGTGAATTAGTTGGCCTTTTCATCCTAAATCACCTAAGTAAGAAATTTGGCAAAGAAAGCATCGGCCTATATAGAGACGACGGTTTGGCCCTTATAAAAAGTAAATCGGCACGTTTAGCAGACAAAACAAGAAAAGAACTCCACAAAATTTTCGAGCTGTTTGACCTAAAAATCACC